CTGTGCTCCAGCTCCTGCCTCCAGGTTCCTGCTCTGAGTTCCTACCTTGGGCTCCCTGATGAACTGTGACCCAGGATATGTAAGATAAATAAATCCTTTCCTCCCCAAGTTGGTAGTGATCAGAGTGTTCTGTCACAGCAATGACGAAACAAGCTAGGACAATGTATTAGTTTGGTATTTCACTTGTAACTATTCTTGGTTCTTCAATCAAATGCATGAAATGCAGAAAGGCTATAAATATGATCCTCTGTATACCCCATATAAGTGCTTCCTGTGATGCTTACTGGGACTATGATGAGAGGAATGTGAATAGATATATGTCATGGCTTTCAAAGGACAGCGATCCTCTAGGTTGAGTGATGCCTACGTCCATGTCTTCTCTTCATACTGCGAAGTCCTCTTCCCCACAGGTGCCTTATGTCTCACAGTTTAATATGCTCTCCATCTGCACCAGCTGAAAACTAAAACAGCAACACAGAGACTCATTGTTGCTTTGCTATTGAGAATTGTGTTACTCTCTCTTAATCACAGAATTCATTAGCAGGCAGATCATCTCTGACAATCACCAGAGCAATGTAGTTATTAGTAATTGGAGAGGAGAGAAATTAGTGTCTACTTTCATCCCATAAATAAACTCTAAGAAGGGAGTTGTTTCTTATCCAAGACCACATGCTCACAGAATTAGCAGAACAGGGCCTAAGGTTAGTTTTTATTTTTGTTTGGTTCCCTTTATTACAACCACATTGTAACTTATCTCCCCAGGTACAGGATCTTCTACTTAAGACTCACTGACCTTATGTTGTGTGCATCAGCTGAAATCCTGCTGTATTATAAGCATCCGAATCTGTATTGCTTGGTAAGAACCTGTTACTGCTCGCAGGTTTGCAGGTCAGGGCAGTGGCTCAGCTATTCTCAGCATACCCTTACATGTGCAGGCAAGCAGCTGGCTGATGGCTAATCTGGCAGGATCTCAGGAGAGCAATGGTGTGCTCACATTATCTCTTGTCCTCCAGAAATCAGCAGGCTCTTCGCATGGTGGTGATCATGTCCCAAGAGGGAGATCAGAGGCACACAGGCCTGGTGAGGTTCAGGCTGGAACTGTCACTCTATGACTTGCATCCATTCTGGTGGCCTATACATGTCACAAAGCCAGCTGCAATTCAAGGGGAGGGAAATTCAGTCTTTGATTGGACTAGCATGGAAATCCCAGTGTATACAGTGTAGAATGAAGGCAAGAGGGAAATTAGACCTGTTTTGTTCGCATCATCTCTCTGATGGAGAATAAAATTCAGCTACCTGGAGACGCCAAGAGAGGACTTAACAAATTAAACTTGTGAGCAAACCTGAAAATCCTCTGGCTTAACAAAGCAGTGGTCTGGATTTTTTTTTAGCTGTACTCCCATCTTTGGGCTACAGCTGCTTTTTCTTGCCATTTCTAGAACTGTCTAAGGAATCTTCTCTGGGCAAATGAGGTGTGATCAGAAGCGTCTGTTCCCTTAGACAAGATAACCATAAATACAGTGATACCTGTCCCTCATCACAGAAGATGTAAAGTAACATTGTAAATGGTGCTGGCAAAACTGCTAGTACAGACTGATTCTGAGAAGAATCCTTACTGTCTTCTTGGCAACTACAGAAAGTAAGGTCATTACTTCAGGTCATGTGGGGTCAGTTCCTTTAGGCAGAAGTGAGAGGCCAACCTCACAGGGGAGGGCTGAGAAGGCCACTCCCCCTGAGCTGGGAGAAACCATTGTCTCTGAGAAACTCATCAGACTAGGGGCAACTAGGTGTCTCTAGCTTCATCGGAGTCCTCCAACCTATCTCTATCCCAGTTAATAGGAGCTCTTTTTTCAATGAATGCCCTCTCTTTTAATCATAGATACTGTTCCAGACTATGAATGACATTTACATTCTAATTCTGCCAATGGCAAGATGAGGGTTCCTGTGGTTCTGAGAAACTTCAGCCTTTCAGCTAAAGCAGAGATTTTGCTTCACAGTATGCTTAAAAGCCTTTAGGTTACTGCCAATGTTTTCTTCTAACAGAGTTTCTGGTTTCACATTGAGGTCTTTGATCCCTTTGGAGTTGACTTTTGTGAAAGGTGAAAGATAGGGGTTTAGTTTCATTCTTCTACAGGTGGAGATCCAGTTTTGCCAGCACCATTTACTGAACATGCTGTCTTTCCTCCAGTGAATGTTCTTGGCCCCTTTGTCAAATATCAGGTGGATGAAATTGCATGTACTCATATTTGGTTCTTCAGTTTTGTTCCATTGATCTACAGGTCTATTTTTGTGCCAGTACCATGTTGTTTTTATGACTATAGCTCTGTAATATAGTTTAAAATCTGTTATAGTAATCCCCCCAGCATGGCTCTTAGTGATCAGGGTTACTTAGGCTATCTGAAGTCTTTTGTGCTTCCATACGAATCTTAGGATTTTTTTCCAATTCTGTGAAGAATGTCTTGGGGATTTTGATTGGCATTGCATTGAATCTATAAATGGCTTTTGGTAGGATGGTCGTTTTCACAATATTAATTCTTCCAATCCATGAGCATGGGAGGGCCTTCCATCTTCTGATGTCTTCATCAATATCTTTCTTTAGAGATTTAAAATTTTCATTGTAGAGGTCTTTAATGTCTTTAGTCAGGTTTATTCTGATTTTTTTAAGGCTACTGTGAAAGGGAGTGTTTCCATGTAGTGTTTCTCTGATTGCTTGCTATTGGTATATAGAAAGGCTACAGACTTCTGTAGATTAATTTTGTTACCTGCCGCTTTATTGAAAGTGTTAATCATATCTAGGAGTTCTCTGGTGGAATTTTTGACATCTCTTAGATATAATATCATATTATCTGGCTATATTTTCTTTCTTTTCTTGATTGATTTGCTGGATGAATGGTTGATGGATTTACACTTAGTTCAGTACCTCAGGCCAGCCTCAAACTTCTAATTCTCCTACCTCAGCCTCGCACTAGGATGCCCAACTCTTTTTGGATAATGTATGTGAAGCTAGAGCTGGGAACGTGTATCCCTCAGCTCAATGTCTTCATTTATTATTTTTACCCGCAATCCTGGGGGCAAATAGCCAACATCATTATAGTACTTAATTCTCCAAAAATACTCAAAAGTTACTGAATTTCTTGCTTTGCAGAAGTTGTGAATTAAGACGATAAGGTATATAGTCTTTGTTTCATTGAATAGTTTGGGCCATGGATTACCTATGCTCTTCACACTCTCAGAAGAGTCATTAAAGAGCTTTAAGTTTAAACAAATTATGGAAAAAAAACCCTAGACCCCAAAGCCTTGAGGTTTTGAGGAAATTCAGCCTCAAAATTCTGTTTCTCAAGCCAGTTCTGTTGAAACATGTCTAAAACCCCACCTCAGGACAGAAGGATCACCAGTTCAAAGCCTGTCTGGACTGCAAAGTAAGTTCTAGACCAGCCTGGGCAACTTAGTAAGATCCTATCCCAAAGAAAATGCTCAAAAGAGGACTGGTGATGCAGCTCAGAGAAGGAACACTTGTCTAGCATGAGAGAGAGAGAGAGAGAGAGAGGAAAAATGGGAAGAAAAGAAAAAAGGGGGACCTTTGATACCAAAATCCACACTGTTGGATATTGCTTAGGGATGGAATCAGTAGACTGTGTGTTTGACTGTGTGTTTGACTTACAAAGTGCCAAAATGGCCTTTGGCAAGTTGGAGAGTGGGAGAAATGGGAAGCTAGTAGTTGCTCACTTCAAAAAGTGAGCCTCTAAACAGAAGGGACCCATGCCTGACACCTGAAATGCCTTGGAGGGTTGGGGAGAGTATGAAGTTCATAGGCTGAAGGAGCCTAAGTGTGACTGTCACATGCAGCATTGTCACAAAGGCTCAGGAAGACTCGGCCTTTCCCATGAGAATGAGCTTCTTGCTTCTGCTTTTCATTTTACCAGCCTACTGGATGCTTCCCTCTCACTTCAATGATCTGCATGGGCCAGTCGTCCCTGAAACACCCTAGCAGACACATCCTGAAGGTGCCTCGGCATTTTCAGGCATCTCTCAATACAGTCAAGTTGGCAACCAAGATTAACCCTGGCACAGGCCAAGCTTTGCCATCACACGCTCTGTGTTTTCATCTGCTAAAATGCAAATTCACACCTGCTGTCTGATTGATCCTGCCCCAGTCATGTACATCGGTAGGAAGGGACTCTCATATTTGCCAAGTAAGAAAGGCTTAACTTTAGGTAGAGTGAATTGTTTAGTCACAGTCACAGAGGGTTTGCAGATGGGATCAGTTCTTTAACCCCGGGTCCTAACTTTGCAGTTTGTCATGGTGTGTGGATTTTTCTAGGGGGATTTGGGGAATTTAAGAAGTTGCAAACCATGTTACTTATGGCACTAGCAAGAGGTGGGTGAGGGGAACAGAGATGAACGAAACGTGGTGGTGGTCAGCACAGGTCCAACATACAATACTGAGGGAATTGTGACACATGTGAGTTTACATACCTCTTCAGGTCTGCTTGCTTTTTATTTCCTTGACAATCTCCTTGGGCAGTGAGCAAAGTGGAAGCATGTATCCAATCAGAAGTTTCTAGAATGTTTAATTTCATTGTAAAAAACGAACATAGCAGAAACACCTTATACAATAAACCATGAAGAAAATCTCTGTTATATTTCCTGCTTGTTGGAAGCACCATGAGGCCAGGGGGAATTAGATCCCATATTCACAATAATTTTGTCTGAATGGTGGTTGAAACATCTTTATATTCTTTACATTTATTTTTTTCTGCCTTTTTTCACTGAATATCTGTTATTTAGGAAAAAAAAAAGACGGCAGTAACAATGCACTTAACATGGCAGAGGAGACTGTTCAGTTAGCTGCTTCCCTTGCAAGTGTGGGATCCTGGTTTGAGTGCCAGAATCCACATAAAAAGCTGGGCATGTTGGCATGCATTGTAATCCTGTGCCAGGGAAGTGGATATAGTAGCCTTGCTGGGGCTAAGTGTCTGGCCAGCTCAGTCTACTTGGCAAGTTCCAGACTATTATGAGATTCTCTCTATATATTTTTAATGAATTGCACTTGATCGGCAACACACGGTTGATCTCTGACTTCCAAACATGTTACATGTGCATGCATGTTAAAGCAAACTTGCACATACGTGTATAAACAAATGCACAAAAAGTAAGGAACAAAAGTAAGTGCACTCACAAAAGGTGGTGGTAGAGTCCATGCAGTGTGCTGCAGTGCTGTTGGGATAACATGACAAGGGCCGTGACTTGGGGAAGAGAACAGTGGAATCCTAGAGTTGACTCAGATTGATGTGAGAAATTATAATGTGAATCCAGATATCAACAGAGACATTAGTAATAAGTATGAAGGGATGGAAATGGATATAGATACAAATGTGTGTCTTAGTGCACATGTTTAAATAAATGCATAGTAGACATGCATATTTGGTATGGGGTGACCTAGAGGAACAGCACCCATAGATTTATTAGCATGCCTAATGCCCAGGTCTTATCTTCTACTTTACAAAATAAGATAACATTATTCAATAAAAGGAGCCAGGACTTCTGGAAGATATGGTTATGCCAAAATTCTGGAAATACCAGCTTGAAATGGAGCTCTAATGACCAGATTAGGAAGGTGTCAAACATAAGCAACTGGACACATAGCCAGGGTCAGCTCTGGATTTGCAGGAGGAAGCTGGGGACACCAGTCCCAGGAGGCACCAATGCCAGCTGAGAAAATGACTTCTCCTCTGTTTTCATCCTGCAGGAAAGCGAGCTTGCCTTGGAGAACAGTTGGCCAGGTCTGAGCTCTTCATTTTCTTCACTGCCCTTGTGCAAAAATTTACCTTCAAGCCCCCAGTCAATGAGAAACTGAGCCTGAAGTTCAGAATGGGCCTCACCGTCTCCCCAGTCAGCCACCACATCTGCGCTGTCCCTAGGCTGTGATGTTGGAGAAGGAAAGAGAAAGGACAGCAAGAAGAAATGTCGCATGCCCTGCAGCCATGGTGCTCGCTCACATGAGAGGGGAGTGAAGTCACAGAATGAAGGTGACCCAGGAAAGATGAGAAGATTAGACTAAGGAAATACAATTCCTGGACTGCATGGACCCCCAAGTTGGTAATGGGAAAATCATTTATGCACTCAGTGATACACCTTATTTCATCTAAGAGTTGTAAAGAGAGTAGTCATTTCTCTCATAAAGAAAGTTTATTTAAAGATGAAATGAACTGAAAATACAGTAGAAATCCTAAGTCTCATCATACAATTTATACCTTCATTTTGCCTCATCCGTCCTTCTGTAGACATGCATTTGCTTCTGGCGTGCTGAAAAACAGTTCATTTGGAAGTGGTACAAAGAGACAGGATGTAGAGTTGGGTCCTGAGGACAGACAAGATGGCCAAGATGGCCATAAAGACTCTCCCATTTCTGCATTATCTTGCTCTGCCTGGGAGTGGTCCTCCTGGAAGTCAGCAGGGCAGGGATGATTCCCTAGACACAGACAGACTAATCTGGTGGTGTTAAGGCAGCTTCTATGATTTCCATATGGTGGCTTGATCTTGATCTTAGATCCAGAGCCAAGTATCGTGTGATTACAAATAACTGAATACTGAAAGCAGGTTTGGAGAACAAATGGTAAAGATTTGTCTGTCTCTAAGAACCTGAGTCAATCTGTAGCATCTGGGGCTGTTGAGCATTCTCTACCTGTAGGTCCTTGACACTGGGAGCTCAAATCATAGGGCAGTGAGGGCTGTTGCCACCACGGTGGTGTGTTATCAGAATGGGATCAAAGATTGCCATTGTCTAGGGGTTGTGGTTGGGTTCATTTTCTCAGCCAATTAAAGGCAGGAAAATCTCAGATCAGTAGAGAACAAGAGACAAATTTTTACTAAAAAATGAAGATTCACACACATATAGACATTCACCCAGAAAGAAAAGCTCTCCACAAGTGGAGAGGAGATTCAGAAAATGAAAATCCAAGTCCCCCCAAGGAAAACCTTGGTTGTTAATGGCTTCTCCTTCTCTAATTTTGGATTGGCCAACTTAACCACATATGAGAAAGCTGATAGGTTATGGCTTCAAATGAGGAGGTGTCCAGGTCAGGCCTTGGTCTTATCTGAACTTGTTTGTACTAGTCAGCCAAAAAGGCAACCCTGCTAGCTAGAGGGTGGGCCTCCAGGCTTTTGTTCCAGACCAAAAAAAAGCAGAAGCATGTCATCTTTATTATTTGTCAGTTGCCCTTTTCCTATATATCTGTATGTCCAAAAATATGAGTACCGCCTGGTCCCTCACTGCACTCTTTCCTTGTTGTGGTGTGTTCAGTAAGTTTGTGATCTGATTTCCCTGATATGATTTTAATAAGTCCATGTATCCTTAAAATCTCAATTAACCCAGATAAATTTCTAGATTGGTACTTGTTCTGTCTACAACCAGGAATTTTACTCACTAAACTGTGATGTCTGGGTTGTGGTAGATAGATGGAGCTGTTCATGTGTCCAGCCAAGTGCATAGTCATCTATCCTCAAAATGGAATCCAAAACTGCTTGCAAACTGGAATCTCTCAGGGAAAGGCACCGTCTGAAAAGCCATTATTTCATGTGATATGGAGAACTTAGAGAAGGACACAATGCACTCTCTACATACTAAATATAATATATCTAAAAATACTGGGGTCTAACCCTTACCCCACGAATACAGTGGGATCCAGGGCCAAGTATCCTGTAACCAAAATGAACAAAACTTTGGGGAGTAGCTGACTGTGAGTCTTGATGGAAATTTCTACTGATAAAACATGCCCCCCCCTTTTTTCTTAAAGTGCCTTGTAAGTGCTATAATGAGTCTCCGTCCCATCTAAGAATTACACAAAGATTTTGTGAGTGTAACTTATAACCATTATTCCTCACATAGTTTGGACATTCTGGTACCCCTTCCCCTCTTCTTTTCTGCCTGATACCTAAAATATAAGCCATATGACAAGTTCTTTGGCATTGTGGACAGGAAGAGGATTTTTACTAAAGATATTTCAGGATGTGAATCTTCTCTCACCCCATCCCATGAAGACACATAGGCACAGGAATGCTGCGGTGAACATTTAAATTAAACAGAGGAGAATGGCACACAAATGTCCTAAGTCTTAAGGACCTGTGTCTGGCTGGAAATAGCTGGACTGCATGCATCAAGGGAAGATTCAGGATATGACAGACCTGAAGTCTAGCCTAGGAACTAAGCAGCAGAGATGGCTTCCTGAGAGAGGGAGTGGCTCAGTCAGAACCGGAAACTAAAGAACTCTACTCCTGGTACCCAGTCTTTGTCCCCTTGAAGTCACCCAAGCATAGGGATACAACTTTTATGCTAAGTTCCAAACGCTTAAGGTGAAGAATTTTATAATGATAAGCCCAGGGACAGCCACATGGTTCATGTGACTTGATGAAGACACTTAAATCTTTAACTTTCTGTTTCTTTCCTCAAAAATGGTGTGTAACAACACAGATCTCACCATCTGATTGGATAGAATTCCAAAGTATAAATTCCTGTCTTGTAACACATTTGATGGCACAGAGCTCAATAAAAAGTAAGGCAAATGTTATGTTATTACCACCATTCCTTTTACACGAACTTCCCAAGGAGCCATAGAGAAAAGTCTATGTCATCCATGCCAGATAGAGATGGCAACAACAGATCACAGACAACTCAACATGGTGAACCAATAAGTTTATTGGTGTTACTTCCATAAGCAAGGGTGACTGGGAGAGAGCTCAGAGAGAGTTGTACTGCCAGTAAGTTCCCTGCTTAATTTTCAGGCATCTCTAGAACAACTGAAGGATCTCTTACCCCATCCAAACCCCAGCAATTACTGTTAGATAACATTAGGAACCGACCATGTGAGCCAACTGAGTCTTCCCTACCTCCGTGAACTGATGTCAGTAGCCTATCCACTAAGGATCTCATGTAGGTAATCACAGATCTCTGACTCAGCACTGCAATTTTCCTGTAATCCTGGAGAGAGCAGACAGACATATTATAGCATCCAACCCCAAATACACTAGAGTCTATTTCTTTCTTGATTCCTAATGAAATTCCAACCAATGACCTCCAGTATTCTGTTCATTTTAATATAGCATATGTTTTTCTTAATAATCCTTCCTAGCACTCAATTTGGTCATTATAATTTACAGCTAAATAGATTTATAATTGCATGATTTCCTAGGTTAGTTCATTCGTCAGCCCAGGTTGGGTGGGCATGGCTTCCATAAACTCCTATCCCTACAACATGCACTTGCTCATTCATGACAACCTGCCTCTTTAGCTTCTCGACACCAATCTACCACCTCATCAGCAGCACCTTGACCTGTGCAGTGTTTGCCGTTTCAGTTCAAGTCATGTATCGTTACTGGGCATCTGCCAGTTCAACTCCTCTACAGGCCACACTAACCCTCTAGGAAGTTTCCTGTTGGGATGCAGGATATCCCTGTGTTGCCTGAGCCCAGAGGATCACATTGAATCTCACACCCTGGTCACATATTGAAGGGCCATGCAGCATGTTCTAGAGATGAACTCTTCAGCTGTCGCTGCCAGACTTGCACAGACTTCTGCCAACATGCAGTTTCAATTCCCTGTGTGTCACTGATTCTTGGCTCCACAGAGACTTTCAAAGCACATGGAAGTCTCTCATCAGGTGAGGGGGAATCCATAGCTCTCCGCTACTTCACAAGAGATGAGTAGGACATGAAAAGGTCCCTCCTGTTAAAGCCAGAGTAGAGATGCAGTTAAAGTGAGACATGATAGGTAAATCAAGGCAAAATCAGGAGAAAGTATCATCACACAGAAAAGAACTCCAGGAGATAGAGTTTATTGGCAGGAAAAACACAAAGGACAGTTCCCTGTTGAAGATAGAGGAGCTGATGGTTTACAAGTTGTTGGCTGGGGGTTTTATAGGGGGTTTTGGGGGATGTAGAAGGCAGGAAAATACTTTTTTCTTAAAGTTAGGCAGGAGAGAGAGAGAGAGAGCCCAGGGCTTATAAGGAGAGAATAGCCTTTGTCAAACCACTGCCTTCTGTCCCCTTCCATCAGCCAGGATCTAGGTCATGGGATAGGGGGTCTGTTTATCTTCTAAGATTATCAAAGGGGGTGCAAGCTGTGCCAAAACAGCTCTTCTAGCAATCAGGTCTCACGGGTCAAAGGTGTAGAGTCTGTTTATCTTGTCTGCAGATGGTCTGGGTGCTCAGTTCCTGTATTTTCAGAGGGCTTGTAAAACCATGAGATCCTGTTGCACTGGAAAGGGGGTTGCTGCAGATCTATGCCCTAACATTCCAGCCTTTTGTGTTATAGGATAGGGGGTGCTGTCATTGTCTTGCTGCTGAACATGGTTGACATAGGGGAAGTTGGATTAGGGGTCAGTCAGACAGCAGGGTTTCCACCTTATGTATTTGAACAGGGTCCTCAGTGGTCAACAGGTGCTCGTATACATGTGGAGGGAATGAAAGTAACACCTGATTAAAATTAGTATGCGTTAGTTGTTAAATCCGGCCCTGAAAATATCTGAAGAGGCAAGGAGCAATGGTTAGCACCTAAGTAATAGAAAGCAGAGGGCCGAGTAAGGGCAGAAGCCAGGGAGTCAGTCCTGTAAAAATATTCCACTGAGGTGACTGTTGGTTCTGGGAAATTGTATGTGAAAGGTAAAATCTTTTAGGGATAAAAGCTCCCAAATACTTTTAACATTTTTGGCCTTTGGAACAGAGTACGTTACTAAAAAGGCCCAAAGACAATTTGACTTTTAGCCAAGAAAGAAACTGGCTATTTTTCTTTCACCCTAACTGCCCAGCCAATTTCTACCTCCTATTCTTATCACACCACTATCTGAAGAGGTTACCCAAATTGCTGATAGGCAATCGGGATGCAGACCACTCTGGCTTCTTCCATGCTGAACAGGGATGCAGGGTGAGGCGATTGGGGCATCCCCTTCAGTGGGTCTATCTAAAAGACTCCCAAAATGTATAACTCTTAACTATAGAGAGAAAAAAGGTCCTTGACTGTTGCCTAGGAGATGTGAAAGAGAAGTAAAAGCAGGAGAGTAGTTAGTATTACAAGTTCTAAACAGGGAACCAGAAAAAGTCAGAACAGGGCAAATTTCAAATGTCCAATTAAAGTCCATTGGAATTTCTTGACAAGGGCTTCCAAAATCATCCATCTACTGGGTTCCTCCTCATTTTTCTGTTTCCTGCCAAGGCTGGACTCAAGAATGATAGACTCAGGATTTGCTTTCAGGTATTTTGATAGCTGTTGGAGTGGCTAGAATCAGTTTCAGTTCTCTCTCAAAGGCTCTAGATAGGGGGAGAAAAGAAATTTAGCCATCATTTAATTTTTTAGGCTAGAACAATAGTGGGTTGACTCCCTCGGCCATAGGTGGTATTACAGACCAAGATTTGAAGTCCTACATCTGAGTAGCATTGTCTTATTAGGAACAAACTCATCAATGGGAGATAATTGTCTAAATAACATCTTATAAGAACTTAAGTCTAATATCTGGGATGTGTAATCCCTTGAACTCATAAAGAAATATGCTGATGACTTTAATCTTTGGTTATACTTTCCTTTTGGGTGTTTAAGACCATATTGTTGGCCCAAATAAACCAATTTATTTTTACTCTTAAGGTTGTTTGAGGATTTGTTCCTCCGGTGTCACACGGGCTTGGGAGGAGCCCCTGGCTCCTTAGGCTTTTCTTTTACCAGTCCCATCTACGTGAAGATAAGTCAGGAGGTCCTTCTTGACCAGGGCTTCACTTGGAAACATGAAGGAAATGTTTCCTCTGTGTTGACCCTCCTCTTTGCAGACTGGACACTGGTTTGAGTCCCTCTGATGGTATCTCCATGACCTCCCTGAACAAGAGGACAGGTGACATCACAGTTACAAGACATGTCAAGAGATTCCCATAGTCCCTTGGGGCATTGTCAACCTTCTAGCGCAAGGAACAAAACTGTCCCTTAAGCCCCTCTGACCAGATTAATATTTATAATATTAAATATAATCAATATTTAATAGCCTCAAAGTCTGGCTATTAAGCACACAAGAAGGTTAGTTACACCAATCTGGTACTTTTAATTACCATATGCTATGTGGATAAAGCTTGGGCAACATTCTTAAATAAACCTTTACTAGACATCCTTAAACTAGTTGACTAGAACTTAGAAATTTTAAGATTATCTATATATTATCTTTGTCTCATCCTTGATAAATCATAACAAACCTTCACAGACCTTCATCACTTGCTTAGGCTTTCTCATTTTTTCTGTCAATTCTGGAAATATCCAGCCATCATAATCTTTATCCATAAATCCTTCTTAATAAAATATCTCCATTCTCACATCCTTCTAACATCTTTTACCTTTTTAATAACCATGAGACATAATAACATTAACAAATAAATTTCCCATCTGTTGTGAGAATTCTTTTCCTGGGAATACTAAGCAATGTTTATCCCCTTCTAAGGTTCTAGTGTCAAACTAATGTTTGATTAAAGTTTTTCTGGGGAACCAATGAACTTATTGAACTTACTTACAGAGATGACTGAGGAGTTCCTGAGATGTATGGGTGAACTTAGAGTATTTACACTGGAAAGCCTTTACACAGCATGGATCAAGACTTCTCTTTTTAGCCTTCCCCAGATAATATACTTTAGTCCTCCTCAAATCCAGGAGATCATTTGCAATTAGGGCAGAATTACATACAGCTGGCTGAGAAGAATGGCTGAATACTCAGGTGAGGGTCCAGTGACCCTTGCTTACCCCTCCTTCAATTAAAGAATATGATAGTCAACAAATCCAACAGTTGAAGTTGTGAAGGTGGTAGTTGTTTGACTCAGAAGAGAGTGCTGTGTAGCATCATCTTATTAAAAGAACATGGAATCTAAATTACACACATAAGATAATGTAATAAGTTAATATTACCCATGTACACACTGTGCTTTATAACAACTGGGACATAAACATTATCAAATTGATGTTTGCAACCCCCAGCATAATCAATTCAGGAAAACTGTGATGCTTTAGTCACTGACTGAGGAATTCTAGGTAGAATATCCTCTCTATACTCTCTATCAACTGTGAATTGTCCTCTAGCCAGAGAAATAAAAGTACGGCTGCCACACGGCCATCTCCAGGAGCCTGGCAGAGGTCTTCCAGGTATCAGAGACCTCCATTCAAGCCAAACTAAGATTCCTGGTTTCAATTACTGATAGGAGTTTTAGGAATAGATAATATAAAGGCAGTTCAATGCAGACTTAAACATGAGAGCTAAAGGCAAGAGTTACTCCAAGGGAGAAAAGCACAGAGCCACATCTAAGCCAGCAGAGTTTCCAGGGATGAAAAGCGTCCCTCCCCCAAACAGGCCACATCTGCCTTCATTCAGAGCAGTGCTGCAGGAAACAGAGGGAAAAAGACAAGGCCAAAATGAGACAGGAAGATCAGTCCCAGAATTCATCTCCAGCAATGAAGATGAGTTAACATATGAAATCAAACCTATAACCAACAGGAGTTCAATTTTCTCAAACCATTTTCAGGCCTTCAGAGGTCTGAAAGCAACACAAACCAGACCAAGAAGTCAAAACCAAAATACTTCCAAAGCAAGCATCCAAAGAGATACCTTAAAACAAACACAATGAAAAAAAAAAAACCAAATGAAATGGAGATCTTTTTTAAAGGTTAAAAACTCACTCAATTTTATGTCTTACAGGGTTTATACTGAGTTCAATATTGTATAACTGTATTAATTCAACTGTGAATTTAAGAATAGGCCCAACTGGAAACTTCTACAATTTTATTAGAATATTAAAAATCCTCAGGGCAGGCGAGCTGGTAATCTTGGCAGCTGCCTTGAGGAGGTGAATAGTGGGAAGGAAAGTAAGCCATGAAGCCATGCAGGTTCAGAGCCTGTGTGGGAGGTCAGACATGTGACTGACTCACAGCCATATGGCTGGGAGAAGGAAGCTTTAGAGAAAAAATGAAGAAATACAAGATTCTAGGGGCAGGGAGGGATTAAGGTTGATCAAAGGCCGAGGTAGAGGAGTAGGGAGGGGGAGTAGAGGCCCATGAGGGGATAGGAACAAGCAAGTTCAGGTCCGGTGAAACTGTCTTGGTGAGGGGAACTTGATGAAAGGAACATGAGACATGGAGGGATTAGCACAGAGATCCAAAAAAAGGGCGGGGGGGCTTGGACATAAGGGACCTCTGACCTTTTGCCACTACATTGGCAGAAATTATCTAAATCTCTCAAAATATTGAAGTCTAAGGTTCCAGTGTCTGGCCAAACAGAGTCATTATCGAACTAGTACTGGTGCCAGGCAGTGGTGTACAGGAATTTTAAGCACTTTGCCTTGGTTGTATTTGAAAGTCCTAGTTGTTTTAAGGATTTAAGAAGATAAGCAAGAGGTGTGAGGCCCTCAGACTTGGACTGAGCAGTTCCCATAGTGACATTATATACAAAGTGCAGAGGAGCTAGAGAAGGAACTGAGCAAGCAGGTAGAAGGAGACAATGAGGATAGGAACTGAGCAAGCAAATAGGAGCAAGAGTCCAGGCAGGAAAGCACCAGATATGAGGAAGAGAAGGATGGGGCCAGGGAAGGCATAGGTCATGCCAAAAAATTGAGAACGTGCAGAACCAATCACCAAGGAAAGTGTCCTTTCCCAGGACAGGCCTGGGAATGAGTTTCCAGTCCCTGGAGGCAGCATCCTGCAATCAGATCACCAGGGAGGGAAAAGGCAAGTTCCTGTCCTGGACAGGAAGGGGTGTGTCTTCCTATCCCTAGAAACAGCGCCCTATACCCAAAGAAAGGAAAGGACTTTCCGACACACTAGTGATTTTCGAGGCAATCGCAAGATGAGTGGAAAGCCCTGCAACGAGAGCATAGTGTGACCAGCCAGTAGAGGGAGACAAAGTACAAGGAAATGGATGGGAAAAGAGATGCATGTAGTCAGAAAGAAGGGGGATGGGCGAGACTAGAGAAAAAGAGAGAGAGAGAGATTAAGAGATTCTGAAATTCAGTGGAAGCTGAGGGAAGAAGAGCCTGAGGAGGATGGGAGCAAGAGAAAGAGAGGAGCTCAGAACTGTGGAGCACAAGAAAGTGAAAGTGAAAGCAAGGCAGAGTACGCTCCAGAGTGAAAGGCAGTAAGAGAGAAAAGGGGGAGAGAGAGAGAGAGAGAGAGAATGAGAGAGAAAGGAAGAATTGGAGTGTACCTCAAAGCTGAATCAGTGGTGCTTTGCGGTGGCCAGTAATGGCAGCCAGGTCTGGTCAGAATTCTTTACCTGCGATTCCCAAAAGATTGCAGGTCCTATGGGTCTCTGGTTGGTTTCAGCACCATATATATGATAGGTAAATCGAGGCAAAATTGGGAGAAAGCACCAGGACACAGACAAGAACTCTGACTGGATGAGTTTATTGTCAGGGGAAATGCATGGGACAGTTCCCCCATTTGGGATAGAGGAGCTGGCGGTTTATAGGCTGTTGGATGGGGATTTTTATAAGGGGTTTTGGGGGATGCAGAAGGTGGGAAAATATTTTTTTAAGGTGGGAGAGAGAGAGACAAGGGCTTATCAGGAGAGAATAGCCTCTGTCAAACCATCCCCTTCCATCCCCTTTCATCAGCCAGGATCTGGGCCATGGGATAAGGGGTCTGTTTATCTTCTAAGATTATTAAAGGGGAAGCAGGCTGTGCTGAAACAGCTCTTGTAGCAATTGGGTCTCAGGTCAAAGGTGT